TAAATGAAGATTAAAAAAAATTCTAGATTAAAAATATAAGGTAATGAAAATATTTGTTAGATACACAACTCCAAGTGGTTCCAAGGGTTATTAAGAGGCATTTGTGGCTCCCTGGAAGAGCCTGGGTCAATAATCAAGTGAAACAGTAATCACTTTGGGATTATGCTTCTTTAATAGGAAACCACCAGTGGCTAGTTCACTCCTAAGCGCCATCCAGACAGTTATTTCCCTCCCTGCCTTCATTCTTCTCCTCCTTTCTTCCTTTTTTTTTTTTTTTTTAATTAATCTGTTTCTTACCAGACCTCTCTTCGATTCTTGGACTTGAAAAGTTCTCTCAAGAGGTGTAAAAAAAAAATGAACCAGTACCTTTGTTTTAGTTTTGGTGCTACCAGAATCAGCTCTGTGATTATGAATTTGCCACTTCTGAGGAGCTTGATTTCTACACCTGTAAAATGAGAAAGCTGAAGTAGATTATTGATAAGGGGACTGCCTTTTCTTTTTCCTGATCCTGTATATCCAGTTGCTTCCGGGCCTTTGTTTGAGGGTCCCATTGGTACTTGAGATTGTTATCAGAGCCACCCCTTCATTTGGTAGCTTCCTTGGTTTGTCCCCTGCCCCCACTGGCATAACCAAGTGAATAAAGGGTATGTAACTAGAAAGCAGCCCCAGGGGAGAAGGAGAGGCAACACAGCAGCTGAAAGTCCCATGTTTAAATACTTAGAATCTACACATAGCTCATGAAAGTTGCCCTTTTGTAACATTCCCTATTGCCATTACTTTTGTTATTTTTTTTTTAACCAGACAAGTGTTTGAGTTTTTTATTTGTTTTGCTTTTGTGTGTGTGCAATTTTTTAACTGGGGTGGGAGAGGTGGGTGGTTGCTAAAGAGGGCAGAGGAGAAACCACAGAAGGTTTTATTATAAACTGTGCTGCTTCTGGGGACATAAAGCATAGATTTCCTTACAAAGGTTATAATTCTCCCCCATCCCAAATTCATTATGGCAACCCCACCAACACATCCATCTTCAGGTACTGCTATATAAGGGATTTGTGACCCTTTCCTTCATTGCTAATCTAGGTCCTCCCAATATCCACCCTAAAGCTCATTTCCTTCAGGAATGCTGATTAACCTCACTGTTGATCACCAATCACATTTAAGCCCCTTGGACTTCATTAAGTATTATTCTTTATAAACATATTTAAAATAGGTTTAGGTACAAAATAGAAAAATACCAAGTCATTTTGTATATGTTGTAGTATATACAGTAATATCTTACATTGCATATTTTAAATACACTAGAAATAGGGTGACTTTTCACATATTGATAAAGATATTAGGGGTAGCTCTGCTATAAAGTCATTTGACCTGACTTGTTTTCTGTGTTCATTGTGATTGCTGTGACTTATTGAAGTTGATCTCAGCTTCAAAATTGGCATGTATGGTTTTGCAAAATGGTTTTTAAAAGGGCTGTAAAAATGTGGTCATTTAAAGCTGTTTCAGAAAATGTATTGCTCCTGCTGTGATACCGAAAACAGCATTTTTAAAACTTATATCTACATAGGTTTGATCATAAAATGGATAGTTTCAAAAGCTGCCTTGGTCTATATCTTGATGCATTTAAATTTTTTTCATTATTTAAGTATATTTGGAGCATTTTAAATTTGAAATGGATCTTTGAACACCTGTATGGCTGCTGGACCAGTGGTGGTTGGGTTCATTGGTTTGCTGCTGGTGTCATCTCCACAATCTATCATTCTTATAAGAAATGACTCCTGTCAGTTGGAGATAAACTTTGCACTGACAATTATCCCTCGCCCCCATTATTGTCATTTCTTTAGCCATCACTGCTCTGGTTTCTACAAAAGCGATGATTATGTAATTGCAACACTTTTTCCTCTTTCTGATACAAAAGACTGAAAGTTGCCCTTTGCTGACTTCCTTTGGGATGTTCGTTTTAACTTTTGTTTCACTAATGAAGACCGCGCTGGTTTGCCTGCTATCCTAGGATTAGTGGATTGCAATCTTCTAGGGAAGCAAAGGACTAGGTCTAATTTATATGTAGCAAAATTGTGGTTGTAGTAGAAATTTGTAGTAGAATTTGTGCAATGCAGTAGAATAGGATTAAATTGCTTTGAGGAGTCCTTTGATGCACACTTTTGAATGAATGAATGTTTTTGCAAGGAATGGTCTCTTGTAAATCTCAAAGTCCGCTAGGAAGAGTACTGGGGTCTTTGTTTTGAACTTGCAAACGGGAATAATTCTTTACCACTAACCCTCCCTCCCAACCCCACCCTCTACTCCGTTCTCATTTGCTTATAATTGTCAACGATCATGATCTCTAGACCCACGCTACAGTAACAAGTTCATTAGTGGTTTTTAAGTAAGATGCAAATCGAGGGAGGACTTCGTCTTCACTTTGGCACAGGTGGGACTGACTTGGGGAAGACGCAGCGGAGGAGACAGTTTAAGCAGGGTGACTCAGTGTCAACACTAACCGTTGCTTTTAAACTGGCCAGGGAAAATACACCAGTCATTGTTATGATGAAAACAACCGGGGGCGGGAGTCGGTGAGGTTAAGAATCTAGATAAAATTTGGACAAAGCTACCGATAGCACAGGAACCGCAGCTGGAGAGCTGGCGGGGCGGCCGCTGCACCTGCCCGGGGCGCGGGCCGGCGGGCGTGTCCGCGGGCGTGGCGGCGGTGGGCGTGTCCTGGCGGCGGTGGGCGTGTCCTGGCGGCCGCGCGGGTGGCGCCGGCGGTTGGAAGGGGGCGGAGTTGCCCTTGGAGGCGGCACCGGGCCTTGGCCCCGAGGCCCGCCGCGCCCTATCGGGCCCGAGCCGAGTGGCCCTGCGGAGCCGGCGCGCTCCCGCCTGCAGGGGGAGGGCGGACGGGGCGCGGGGACCGGCCAGGCCGCGCCGGGCGCTGTTTCTCTTTCACTTTCCTTCGCTCTGAGGCCGGCGCAGTGGCGGGCGAGGAGTGGCGTCCGTGGCGGCCGCTGGGTAGGTACCGGGTGGGCTCGAGAGGGCCCGGGACGCCGCCGCCCTCGTCTCCCAGCCCAAGTTTGCGCCCCAGGCAGGAGAGGCACCTCCAGACACCTGCCGCGGCGGCCCCGCCTGGAGCACGGAGAGCCTTCGGGGGCCAGGGCCACTCGCTGGGGGCGCGGGACTTCCAAGCCCAGCCCTCACTCTCGGGCTGGGAGCGCGGCGGGCCGCCAGCGCCGGCCCCGGGGGAGGCGGCTGGTCCTCCCCGCGCAGCCCCGGCCCGGTCGGGCCCGAGCGGCGCGTCGGCGGGGCCTGGGCCCGCGCACCTGCCGGGCGGGCGCTGGAAACGCACGGGGCTGAGCCTCCGGGTCCCGCGGGCGGACGCAGAAAGTTCCCCGCCCTGTCACAGCAACTTCTCCTTTCCTTTAACTGTCTTGGTGACAGGGCTCAGTGCCTTGTGATCTTACTACCACCGCAGGTCGGGACCGGGCATTTTCTCTTTCAGAGGACTTTCTCTTACTTTGGAGCTTCACGGCAAACCTGTGGGAAACGCAGGGCAGTTAATACCAAATGTGTAGAGGAGGAAGCCGAGACCCAGGCACGGATATTAAATGCTTTGCTTAAGGTCATGCAAGGCTAAGGGCCAGAACCCTGATCCCCCGTCTGTTAATTATGTTTTCTTTCTGTTACACCCTCAAACACGATTTCCTGAACGGATAGGATGATTATACGCAGAATTTATTCCTTGCACATTCGCAGTGGGTATGTGTTGATGATGATGCTTTTTACTTTTACAGTTAATTTCTGCTTGCCAATGAGTTAACAGCTAAAATGGGGGGAAGTTCTTGTTTCTAGAATAAACTTAGGAAAATCAATACCTTCTTTCATGTTGTGTTTTCTGAGAGGACGCATTCACTGTAAGAAACCCTTAAAACTTTTCAAGTAACCTTATATGCAAGTCGACCATGCAAAACGTTTCTAGAAAAATTAATGACATTCAGTTGTTGCTGTATACTAGCCTTATGTATATTGTCTCATTTAATCCTCACCATTCGAGGAGGCTGGCATTGTTATTTTCTTTTTATGATTTAAAAATCTGAGATGTAGGAAAGTAACATTGCCCAGGTTATATATCTGCTATAATAAATGTAACTGGTTTCTATTGAGGATTTTTCATTCTAATAGAGGAAGTAAAGAATGAATGTGACTGTAAATCAAGATAAAAGGAAAATGTAACAGGAGAGAAGTAGGGGTTAAAAAACTAGGGAAAGATTGCACTGAAGTTAGCATCAAAGAAGGATTTTAGTGGATAGATAGGATGCAGAGGAGAGGAAGGGCTTCTTGGATAGAGGGCATAGAGCCACTAGAGTGGAGAAGAGTGATCTCTTCAGTTTGCCTGAAGAAAGGGTCTGTATGTTAAGGTAAACCTGTGGAGGGACATACGAGACAAACAGAAACATTTTTTTATTTGTAAAGAGGAGACACTGACATTCTTTAAGACGATGGCCCAAATGTGATAGAATAAAATACACCTGATAGAATAGGAAATGGACTGCAGGTGGAGAGGTAATATACAAGTAGAGTGGCTGTGTGTAGAAGGGAAAAGGACATCGACTTGATTTGACTACTAACTGGATGTAGGGTGCAAAATGGAAACAGAACATTTTGATAGGGAGAATGATAACTTCAGTTTTTAATCTTCTAACTTGTATTAGCAGGGATTCCTAATAGAGCAGTCAAGCAGATAGTTAAAATGCATTACTGAAGAGGTAAAGCTATCAAACTGGAGTTAATAGCTTTGGATGTCATTAGTATAGAGGTGATAGTTGAAGCTCCAGGGTTGGAAGAATTTGTCATTATTCTGAATTAAACTATAGCCAATTTACAAGTTAATGGTGCAGTGAAGGATATGTTCTAGTCACCTATTCACCCAGTTTGGAACATGTAACACTTGCTGTTAATAGAATATGAGGAATTTGACACCTTTTTCTCTCATCTTTTTAAAATTTTGGAAACAGATATGGGGAAGCAGAACCACCAAAAGGAGTGATGATCAGCTATCTCATGATAAATCTGGATGTTAGTTCTCATGCCTCGGGACATCCTCTTAGGAACACCACACCAGCTCCTGGGATCAGAGTTGCATCTACTTAGTACCCTTCTTTGCCTGAACTACTAAAGCCAGTCTCAGCTAACCACGAATGGCTACTCAAAGGAAACACTTGGTGAAAGATTTCAATCCTTACATTACCTGCTATATCTGTAAAGGGTATCTGATCAAGCCAACGACAGTGACGGAATGCCTCCATACCTGTAAGTATTCTTTTGGGTAATCTACCCATCAAAAGTTACATGTTCATTTGTTCTTTTAAAACTGCCATGTTTTGTTTCTGTCTAGCTAACTTTTAAAAAATGAATATTCTAAGAATTAACTTTGAATTAATTTTGAGAATATTTGTCGTTGGGATACCATTGGCATGAAATTTTTCTTTTGTTATTTGAATCTTAGTAGTTGACTTTTACTGGATCATAAAATTTCTAAAAATCATAAGCATGTTATTGATTATAGTTTTTTAGAAAGTGAACTATTTCAGGTTTTTTATTTTAAAAATCTCAGAGGTTTTGTTAGAATATGCATACTCTAATTTACTCATTCTTAAAATGGGATTCTTAGGCCAGCAGCATCAGCATCACCTGGGAACTTGTTAGAAATGCTGATTATCAAGCCCCACCCTAGGCTTAATGAATCAGAAACTCTGGGAGTGGGCCCAGCCATCTGTATTTGAACAAGCCCTCCAGGTGGTTCTGAAGCATGCTCTCAAGTTTGAGAATCATTGTTCTAATATTATATGCATGGAACTCCTAACAAATTTCATTCTCACCTGTCTTATTGGAAAAGAAAGAGATGTTTTTATAGCCACTTACGCCAGTATTACAGATACTTTTGGTGTTTCTGCCAGTATGATTTCATTTTTTATTTCAATGAAAGCAATTCCAGTAAATTCTAGTTTATTGCCTATTATGTGCATCAAAGTAGATACTTTATATAGTTGATTTCATTTTGCTTCACAATAACCTTGGAGCAGTTTGAAGAGTGGACATAGGGGGAAGAGAGTATAGAGATTATCTTCATTTTGTGGATGTGGAAGCTAAGAGTTGAATAACTTGCCCAGTCTCACAGCTAATGAGTGATGAGCATGTATTCAACTTCAAAGACCATGCTCTTTCTAATATAACATGATACTTTTTTTTTTTTTAGTAAACCTTCCTTTTCAGCTATTCTCACTCTGCTGAACTGCCATAATATTCTAGCAGTAGTTTTAAATGGGTACAAAATGAAATCACCTGGAAATGGTTAACGTGACAAATTTTGTTACATTTATCTTACCACAATAAAAAAAAAGAATCACCTGGGAAGCTATTAAGCATGCACCTGTTATATGGTGGGTCTTGTGGTATGGTCTGAGCATGTGTATTTTGGAAAAGCTCCCCAAGTGGCACTGGTATATACTCCTTTGGGATTCAATTAGCAATTAGCTATGAACTGTCTTGCATTATTAATTTGCTGTTACCCTGTATCATTATTTAACTTAAACAGTTAATAATTAACTATCATTGAACAGATGTTTGCTGAGTACTTACTATGTATCAGGCCCTGTTCTGGGGCACAGAGAATATAGCAGGGTACAAGATAATCAAAAATCTCTGCTCAAGAAGTAGGGAATTACATTCTAGTAGGGAAAACTAATAAATATACGCCATGTTAGTGATAAATGCTATGAAGAGAAACAAAGCAAGATTGTAGATAAGAGAGATGAGGTTATTTTATATAGAGTGAAAGGGTCAGCTTCTTTGATATGATGACATTTGAATAGAAACCTGAAGGGATTGAACTCTGGATATATGGGAAGAGCAGTCTGTGTAGAGGGAACAGCAAGTACAGAGGGCTTGAGGTGGGAATATGCTTGGCAGGTTTAGGGAACAGCAAATCAGTTAGAAGCCTATCACTGTAGGTCGGCTTAAAGATTATAGGGCCTTCAGCCAAGGTAATAAGATGTGAGATGGGCCGGGTGCTGTGGCTCATGCCTGTAGTCCTAGCACTCTGGGAGGCCAAGGGCGGAGGATCACTTAAAGTCAAGAGAGTCGCTTGAGCTCAGGAGTTGGAGACCAGCCTGAGCAAGAGCGAGACCCCGTCTCTAATAAAAATAGAAAAAAATTAGCTGGGCATGGTGGTGTGTGCCTATAGTCCCAGCTACTTGGGAGACTGAGGCAGGAGGATTGCTTGAGCCCAGGAGTTTGAGGTTGCTGTGAACTAGACTGATGCCGTGGCACTTTAGCCTGGGTGACAGAGAAAGACTCTGTCTCAAAAAAAAAAAGAGTTAACTAAAGAATCAGTAAACATTTTCCTATGAAAACTCGTAAGAAAATGTCAATATTTTGGCCTTACTATTCAAGTGTGAAATATATAAATGAAACTTTATTATTGGTGAGCAAAACCAGACATGGAATCTGCCTTTCTGGACCATCTGGTCAAGTGAAGAAAGGGTAACCAAATTAAGAAATGTACAAAATAAATTCAAATACTGAGAAGTGCAATGAAGATGTGACACAGGACGATATAATAGCAGATGTGTATCAGGATATTGGACCAGAATGAAATGCAAAAGAAGGAACTGGAGTGTTTTTGTGAAATGCCTAAAGCTGCAGGTCCTAGGCCTTCGCAGATAGGGACAGTAGCCCTTGGTCCTGGCTTTAGTAGAGGTGCTGAGGGCTGCATCTGGGTAGGAGGTGGGGATCATTAGTGGCTCTACTGCTTTGATATGGATAAATGAAGTTATTTTAGTCTTCTTTCAAATTACTATGCAAATGCATTTCTATTTTTCTCTTTCCTCCTCAGACCAAATAGGTTGCTGGTCCCCTATTCTCCCATAGAGAAATTCTGGAGCCAGCATTGCTTGGCTGCCCTGTGGATGCAGAAGGAAGGGCCCAAAGGGTGAGCCTGTCAAAAGGAAGGGGGAAGCAGGGATGGTGGAGCAGCCCTGTGTCCCAGGCTCCTGGCAAGGAGATGTAAAAGAAAGGGATCATAAAAGTCATATCTTTAACTAGACTCGTATTTCACCTGCTAATACCACTTCCCTTCAGTAGGCCAAGGACAATTTGATAAGTAGATAAAATTTTAAAATGAGTTAAGATTTTCAAACACAAACGAGTTTTAGCTTTAAATGATCACTTAATGCTAGATGAACTCAATCCACATTAACCATAGTTAACATATCTGTGAGATAATTTTAATAACCTAACAAATGTAAGGAAATAAATGTGTTCACACAAATAATTATTGAATTATTTAAACTAATTACATGTCAGGTACTTTGCTAGCCTCTGGGGTAGAGTAATAAATAAAACGAATTTGGAATTTATAATCTATCAGGCAAACTTCTTATAAGCCATAAAAAATTTTAACACACATATTTGAATGTATCTTTTTCTTTCCTTATCTACTCTGAGACTATGCTGATGCCTCTCAGATCTTTATTTCTGGCTTAAACCTTTCTTCTCAGCTATAGAATCCTACTGAATGTCCACTTGAATGTCCCGAAGCCACCTGGAACTCAATATATCTAAACATAAATGAATGGGATGCCAACACTCAGTTGTCCAAGCAAGAAATATGCTCCATGCTTGCCTCTTTTTACCCTCATTAACAAAACTGTGACAAAGTCCTATCAGGTCTCTCTTTAATATTTTTCAAATCTGTCCCTTCAATTCTCTCTTCCTCTTCCTGTTCTCATTCCAGCCCTCATTACTTCTCACCAACGCCACTGCAGTCTATTCTTAACCTGTGTCAGAGTGGCAGTAATTATAAACAGCCAACTGTCTTTAAATCATTGTCACTTTTTAGCCTACTCCAAAATTTCCTAAAGGTACCCTATTGCCCTTAGAATAAATTAAAGCTACTTAAGTGTGACTGATTTCTGCCTAAATCTTCTCCTCCACCATCTTACACACATATATGTGGATACTTGGTTCTGCTCTTTGCTTGGAATGAATGTTTGCTCTGTGCCCAGCTAGCAGTTACCCATTCTTTAAAACTCATCCACTCTAAGATGTGCCACCCACCTGCTACCACATACAGATTTGGGTTAAGTGTCTCCTTAATGTCTGATACTTGAGTGCTCAGTAAAGCTTAAATGAATAAATGTATGGCTAATACGTTGATTATAATATATTTTTATTTTCAAAGATTAAAATGCAGAGATGGGTAACTTGAGAGGCATGTAGGCAATATGAATTTCGAAAAACATCTTCTAGAATCTGGAAGGATCTTGTGGGTCTTAGGTAGGGAGAGGGAGAGACTGGATTGGGGACTAGAAATTGATGGCCCTAGAATAAGGGATGCTCTGTCATTTTGCACCAGGGTCCTGAGAAACTTTTTGAAGCTGCTTAAAGTGTATTTTCTGGTGGTTGCATAGGTTGATTCTTAGGAATAAAAGGTTGTTTATAGACATAGAAGTTTGTGGTACAGGAAAGGAAAGCTTTCTTTCTGCTTTTTCAGAGATGATGGCTGTAATCCCTTAACTAAGAATGAATTCTTTTTTTTTTTTGAGACAAAGTCTGGCTCTGTTGCCCGGGCTACAGTGCCATGGCGTCAGCCTAGCTCACAGCAACCTCAAACTCCTGGGCTCAAGCAATCCTGCCTCAGCCTCCAGAGTAGCTGGGACTACAGGCATGTGCCACCATGCCCAGCTAATTTTTTCTCTCTATATATATTTTTAGTTGTCCAGATCATTTCTTTCTATTTTTTAGCAGAGACGGGGTCTCGCTCTTGTTCAGGCTGGTCTCAAACTCCTGACCTTGAGCAATCCACCCGCCTCAGCCTCCCAGAGTGCTAGGATTACAGGCGTGAGCCACCGCGCCCGACCTAAGAATGAATTCTTTGCACAAACACATTGTTGTACTCATTTTTTAACTTACACAATGAAGAAGCGTTAATTTATAATTAAATATGGTTGACGTAGCAAGAGACTTGGTGATTTTATGTGGTAATATGTAAAGAATAAAGGAATAACTTAATCATAAACTGGCAAAATTTAAGTACTACCAACCATTTAATGTTTTTGAACAAGTATCATAAATACGCAAATGCTTAAGGTAGAGAAGACTCATACTTTGATATTTAATATTTAAAAATCTTACACTACATACATATGCTTCTCAAAGTTCAGTCTCTGGAATGGCTGCATCTACCAGCAGCATCACCTGGGAGCTTATTAGAAGTGCAAATTCTTGGGCTTCGCTGTAGTCCTACAGAA